ATACTTGATTTTGATTGGCTAAGCTTAAGGACTTTTAAATTTGAAAACTGTTATTTCTGTTTTTAAATGTCTTATCACAACCCAACAAAAGGAGGAAGTTAAAATCGAAGTACAGAATATGAACATCAAAACATTGAAAGATACACATAACAAAATCTGAAGCAATACATTTTCTCAATCAATATGAAATTTGAGAAAATTGACCAGCTTTGTGAAAACATTAAAAATCCAGTTATTTTGGCTGTTCCATTAGTCTGCCTCCTTTTTATACCCCGTGTCCCTCTTTAAGATCTGCACTTTTAACCCAAACCGATTGTGTAACTTAAGTGAGGAATTAAATCGACCATTTTGTTGTCTTCTGAGCTATTTTTTCGCAAACATGTATATTTTCTAAAACATGATACCGATACACGTTTGAATGTGAGAAAAAACATCGTGGGGATTTAGACTAATTCTGCCTACAACGCGTTAAATAAAGAAATTTTGTTACCGAAACGAACGGTATTCGAGCGGATCACCAGTGATCATAGACAACACTTATGTTTTTTTATCTTACGTTATGTTATTTCACCTTCGTCTTATGAAAGGTCGATTGAAACCCAATGAGAAAGTGTCAAACATAATTTGAGGCAAAATATTCACGTTTTTCTGAGGCAAATTAAAAAATAGCGACGAGTCAAATTCTTTAAAAAGCGACGAGGCAAAACTCAAGGGGGGGGGGGGGTGCAGGCGCACCCGACGCGACCCACTGGCGACGGCCATTGGCTCTATATAAAGTAACAAAAAGTGAAATATCTTTTCTTATGTTGGACGGATAATACTTTCTTTTAATGTACATCTTTTAATTTGATGATTTTTTAAGGGTAATGTGTAAATTGATCCACTAAAACTGATGGATATTCAAGTTTAAATCTTTCTTCTACCTACTGGCTTTGTATACTTTTTATTATGTCACCACCAAAAGTGGTGACATATTGTTATGGTCTCCGTTTTTTTTGTGACGGCGTCCGGCGGTTGGTGGTTGGCGTCCGGCGGTTGGCGTCCGGCGTCTGTAACAATTTCTTTCAACTTCCTATAACTTAACAAATACTGTTTAGACTGACTTCAATTTTTTCTAAATCATCTACATGTTCTCAGAAGTTCAAATCTGACATTAGATTTGACATTTGACCTTCAATGACCTTCTCAAGGTCAAAAAGGTATTTTTCAACTTGCTTCACATTGACTAAATTTTTTTTCAAAATCATCTACATGTTCTCAGAAATTCAAATCTGACTTTAGATTTGACATTTGACCTTCAAATCTGACTTTAGATTTGACATTTGACCTTCAATGACCTTCTCAAGGTCAAAAAGGTCTGTTTTCAACTTGCTTCAAATTGACTAAATTTTTTTTTCAAAATCATCTACATGTTCTCAGAAATTCAAATCTGACTTAAGATTTGACATTTGACCTTCAATGACCTTCTCAAGGTCAAAAAAGGTCAAAAAGGTCTGTTTTCAACTTGCTTCAAATTGACTAAAAATTTTTTTCAAAATCATCTACGTGTTCTCAGAAATTCAAATCTGACTTTAGATTTGACTTAAGATTTGACATTTGACCTTCAATGACCTTCTCAAAGTCAAAAAAGGTCAAAAAGGTCTTTTTTCAACTTGCTTCTAATTGACTAAAATTTTTTTTCAAAATCATCTACATGTTCTCAGAAATTCAAATCTGACTTTAGATTTGACATTTGACCTTCAATGACCTTCTCAAGGTCAAAAAGGTCTGTTTTCAACTTGCTTCAAATTGACTAAATTTTTTTTTCAAAATCATCTACGTGTTCTCAGAAATTCAAATCTGACTTACGATTTGACATTTGACCTTCAATGACCTTCTCAAGGTCATAAAAGGTCAAAAAGGTGGTTCGAATTGACTAAAAAAAATTTTCAAAATCATCTACGTGTTCTCAGAAATTCAAATCTGACTTTAGATTTGACTTAAGATTTGACATTTGACCTTCAATGACCTTCTCAAAGTCAAAAAAGGTCAAAAAGGTCTTTTTTCAACTTGCTTCAAATTGACTAAATTGTTTTTTCAAAATCATCTACATGTTCTCAGAAATTCAAATCTGACTTTAGATTTGACATTTGACCTTCAATGACCTTCTCAATGTCAAAAAAGGTCAAAAAGGTATTTTTTCATCTTGCTTCAAATTGACTAAATTTTTTTTCAAAATCATCTACATGTTCTCAGAAATTCAAATATGACTTTAGATTTGACATTTGACCTTCAATGACTTTCTCAAGGTCAAAAAAGGTCAAATAGGTCTTTTTTCAACTTGCTTCAAATTGACTAATTTTTTTTTCAAAATCATCTACATGTTCTCAGAAATTCAAATCTGACTATAGATTTGACATTTGACCTTTAGTGACCTTCTCAAGGTCAAAAAAGGTCTGTTTTCAACTTGTTTCAAATTGACCCAATTTTTTTTTCAAAATCATCTACATCTTTTCAGAAGTTCAAATTTGACTTTACAAGTTCTCAGAAATTCAAATCTGACTTAAGTTTGAACTCATAATATTGTGAGCAACTAGGTGGTGACATTTTGTCATGTTAATGCCTTGTATAATTCTTTAGTCAACACATTCGACATTGTCTTTAGTCAAGTTCTTGCTTCCATGATATGTTTGGATAGATGAAACATCCATCCATCGTTGGAACAAAGTGACACAAAATGTATTTGCAATATCGTAGTAGTAGATGGGTTGAATTAAGAATTGTAGCAGATCGTTGTTCCCTCTTCAAAAGAGGAGACGCGAAAATCTTTTCTTATAAGGTCAAAATATTTCCCATGATGCAGTTCGCGGAGGAACAAATTTATACTTCCTTGTTTTCCCCATTCTGATACTCATAGCATCTTTCTGTTTCACCAGATGATATTATGATGCATATTCTGTGATCTGAGCACATCAGATGGGAAGAGTTATATAACTGTCAATAAGTGTGATAGTTATCATTTAATCATTTACCTAATGTCAAAACATTACATAATAGGCATTGTATTTAACAGCAGATATTAGCACAGGTACATATATACAAGTTTTATGACCCAAATTAGATGAAATATGAGCTGGGAAAGATCTCAAAAATCTTCAATCTTGGGCTCTCCTTGATCGCCAAATCAAGCTCATTATATCATGGCATCTCAGGGCTGAGAAGAATTGAGATGTCATGGTTTATCATGATGTGTTTTCCAACCCTAAGGTTTAACATCTGGAAATCTTTTTCAGGATAATTCAACAAACTGTTTCGCTTGAATATCATGATTTTTGTCATATTCACACAAGCAACCTTTGATGTCTTGATGTCATAAACCTCTAAAACACCATTTTAACGATATATATTTGAGTTATTTTATCGCCCTCTACTGATCATCATACCCAGTAGACGAGCACTCAACAATAAGTAAATAAGCCTACTATCATTCTGATACTCATAGCATCTTTCTGTTTCATCAGAAACATGTTCTGATATTATGAGGCATATTCTGTGATCTGAGCACATCAGATGGGAAAAGTTATAACTGTCAATAAGTGTGATAGTTATCATGTAATTGTATTTAACAGCAGATATTACAACAGGCACAGTTACACAAATTTTATGACCCCAATTAAATGAAATATGAGCTGGGATGAAAGATCTCAAAAATCCTCAATTATGGGCTCTCCTGGATCGCCAAATCAAGCTCATTATATATCATGGCATCTCAGGGCTGAGAAGATTTGAGATGTCATGGTTTATCATGATGTCCTACTATATTCATGTACACAATAGACATCCCATTCTCTTCATTCCGTACAATCGGAAGTACACTACATGATTTGCAGTCAGCAGGGGGATAAACCCCTGAGTTCAAAGATGACTTAAGTTTATATTGAAACCTTTATTGAGATGACATACGTCTCTGATTGTTAAAAATCGACAAACAAAATGGCGGCCTCAAAATATTCGAAATACGCATCGAATTATGTTAATTTCTTGCGCGTTTACCAATTCCATAACTCCTTATTTCATATCAAGATAAAACAAGGTGTACGGAATATGCCTATATCAATTAAAACATCACATCGTGTAGTATTTGGAAGCTAGCTGTTGAAAATTCGAACAAACGAAGGTGGTAAGCATTATACGTTATATTATGTCTGTTATCTCTAAAGCTCTAGGGCTTTCCCTCCTCTTATTTGCAGTTTGTAATTGCATTTGTTGAGTTTTAACAGGAATATGAGCCACGCCTCCTTATAGAACATCGACTATGCTACGCAGAGGGTGCCCCCTAGTATCACTACCTCGCAACTGAACACGATCTAGCACTTCACCAATCTTGACAGCAGCACGGCAGTTGTTAAAATTTTAAACTGTACCTGGCCTGTTACATACAATGTACACTTCTCTACATACCTAGATTATAGTTAATACAAAAGAATTTTAATTTTCCTAAGATTGGATCATGGACCATTTATCTTTTATAAGAGTCAGTGTGGGGTTTAAGTTAAATAGACCATTCGTACTGGGTTTTACGAGAAATAACAGCCGATGGCATTGAGCTTATAGTCAATACAAAATAAATCAAAGAGCACGTAAGTTATCGCAAACAATTTCAAACGATTCTAACTTGAATTATGAATATTTTCTGATCATGAACATGAATTTGGATGACCAAAATGAACTGAAACCAATGGATAGCATGGGATTTTTCAATGGAGAAATAACATGGGGAACACTTATCTTAATTAAGTTATTAAGTTTTTCTTTCAAGAACTATTTGATACATCTAAATAAAGAATAGTAATCCATTAAACATTGTAAAAAGTGATTGGATTTTTGGTGAAAATGGGGTCAACATCTTTGAAAAAGTGTGTTGATGGGTTGATTGCGAGTTAAATATCTCCGAGTTTGTTTGACTTTATTATTACTTACTGAATATAATTTTCTTATGAAATACCAGCCTGTATTTACTATAGAGGGCAGAAAAAGCAATGTTGGAGATGTAAATCTGAACTTCACAAAGCCCATGAGTGTCCAAATAAAATCACATATGCAAAACGTGATACACGTCAACCATCTGCCCCTCCTGTAACACATACGGCTGCCAAGGCTGTACCAGAGGCCTCAGATGATCCTCATCCTACAATAAGCCAAAATGATGACAAAACTACTAGCTCAGCTCAGGCTGAAAGCCTTCGAAATAATGATGACGACAAATCCACAATATCACAATATGATCAAGCGGGTAATTCTAACAATATAACTGTGCCACCAAAGTTATTACACGAAGACGAAGCAGACTCACAAGTTATAGAATCAGTGAGTCCTAATTTTGTAGATGCCCCCCAAGACTTACCAAAACCAAATGAAACTACCAAAACTCAAACAAAATCTCCTGTGCAAAATATTGCCTCCAAATACTTCAGTGGAAAACTCAGAACTCCTCCTACTCCTCCTGTTCGAGAAGTCATGAAGAAGAAAAAAGACAATTCACCAAGTCAAATTGAGGAACGGGATATTCTCGATTGATAGTTCATCAAATTCCAAAATCATAAATATGAATATGTACATATTGTAAAAGTGTTATTTTATTTGTGTTTACATTTCTCTGTTTTCAATTTTATATGAGTGAGGTGTTCAATTTATTATCGTTAAATGTTAGAGGATTAGGTGATCCAAAAAAAAGAATTGCAGTTTTTGATTTCCTAAAAACTAATAAATATGATGTTATTTTTCTACAGGAAACTCATAGTAGTCAAAATTTTGAATATAAATGGAAAGATGCCTGGGGTGGTAACATTTATTTTTCCCATGGCACTTCTGATAGTAAAGGGGTGGCAATTTTAATACACCCGAACTGTAAAATTGAGGTAAAAGATGAACTGAGGTTCGAACCACGTGAAAGGTAGAACACTTATTTTAAAATGTAAAATAAATGAAAGAGATATTTTTCTCTGCAATTTATATGGCCCAAATAACACAAATGACAAAGTTGAGTTTTACGATATATTAAATGTCTTTATGATAAATAATAATGTTACATCAGACCTGATCATAGGTGGAGACTTAAATGTCTTACATAATGTAGATTTAGATAAAAAGGAGGTAAAGTAACTGTCGATAATAAAAAAGGCAGTCAAGCACTCTCTCATTTTATAGCAAATCAAAATGTCAGGGATTTATGGAGAGTAAAAAATGAGAATAAAAAACAGTTCACATGGAAACAAAATAAGCCTTTTATAATGTGCAGGCTTGATTACTGGTTGATTTCAAATGGTTTAGTACAATATGTAAATGAATGTAAAATTGTAACAAGTATTTTAACAGATCACTGTGGTGTTCATTTTAAATTCTCCTTTGGTGGTAAACCTGTAAAATATTTTGACAACTGGCGCTTTAATAACAGTTTGTTGAAAGATGATATTTTTATTGATAAGATTAACGAATTGTTAGACAGTGTACATACAAGTGAAAGGTATAATTTAGAGTCAAAAAGAATTAAATGGGACCTTTTAAAATCTGACTTTAGAAGTATAGCCATACAACATTCAAAATTAATAGCTTTAGACAAAAAAATAGAAAATATGAGCTTGAGAATTTGATCTCAAAATATGACTATCTCTTATCTTCAAATGAAATAACTGATAATATGTTACATAATAGAGACATTTTACAAAATGAACTGAATCAAATATATCTTGATCAATCAAAAGGTCTCCAAGTTAGGTCAAGACAAAGATGGATTGAAGAGGGTGAGAGGTCTACTTCTTATTTTATTGGCTTAGAAAAATCCAGAGGAAATAAAAAGAACATTTCTCGTTTGATAAATGAACAAGGTAATATTTTAACTGCTCAAGAAGATATTTTAAAAGAGGAAAAATCTTTCTTTCAGAAATTATATGGCAGAAAAAACATAGAGCAAAATTTAGATAGTTTTCTAGAAGGTACTCAGATACCAAAATTGTCACAAAAAGATAGTAAAATATGTGAAGGTAAACTAACAATTGAGGAATTAAAAAAATCTGTTAAGAAAATAAAAAAGAATCGTAGCCCTGGATGTGATGGTATTTCTGTAGAATTTTATATCAAATTTTGGAACAAATTAAGTCAATTTTTATATGATGCTGTTCTCGAAATTTATGAACAGGGAGAAATGACTATATCTCAACGTAGAGGTATCATTACACTTGTTCAAAAAAGTGGAGATCCACTATACTTAAATAACTGGAGACCGATTAGTCTCTTATGTGTAGATTATAAGATTATAACACATGCAATTGCAAATAGACTAAAAAAGGTAATATCATATTTAGTTCATAATGACCAGGTAGGGTATGTCAAAGGTCGTTATATTGGTGAAGTTATTCGTAAAATAGAAGATATGATATATTATGCTAAAAGTAAAAACCTAGTGGGGTCAAGCATTCTGTGTGTAGACACCTCCAAAGCGTTTGATTCATTAGATTGGGTATTTTTAAACCAAGTTTTAGATAAATGTAATTTTGGAGAAAATTTTAAAAAATGGATAAAAATCATGTACACTAATATAGAAAGCTGTATAGCGAATGTAAATGGATCAAAAAGTGAATACTTTAAGATTTATAGATCAGTTCGTCAGGGAGATCCAATCAGTTCGTATTTGTACATTCTATGTGCAGAAATTCTATCATGTAAGATACGTCAAGAAAAAAATGTTTGTGGTATCGAAACACCTGGTAAGAAAGAAATCAAAATTGCACAGTTAGCAGATGACACCACTTTATTTTTAAAAGATAATCAGTCTGTTGAAAACGTTCTTAAAATTTTAGATGATTTTGGAAAAGTATCTGGGTTAGTAATAAATAAAACAAAAACTGAAGCAATGTATATAGGAAATAACACACAAAACAGAGATATGAAATTTGCTGGTCTTAGCTGGAAAAATGATCCAGTTAAAGTCCTAGGTGTATACATATGTAATGATCAGAAACTAAGTAATCAAAAAAACTGGAATTTCAGGGTAAAAAAGTTTAAAGATCAATTAAAGAAGTGGCAGAAAAGAGATCTGACTATTCATGGAAAAATAACCATTGTAAAAACAAATGCCTTGCCACAACTACTTTACTTAGCCTCTGTTATTACCATGCTCATGGAAGAGGATAAAAATGATAACAAACAATCATGGAAAATTTTACCAAAATATTACCTAAGTAAAGTATGTAATTCAAATATTTTGTTACGAGCTAGTGAGTGTTATGACAATGTTGCCAAATATGTTCATAAAGACGTACCTTTATTTTATAAAAATGTTATCAGTTCTTGGATTAATTTTAACAACCAATCAACACAATTACAACAAGAAGTGGCTAATAGTCTATGGTTAAACAAGAATGTAAAATATAAACATAAGGTTTTATACTTAGAGAGATTAATGAAGAAAAATATATTCTCTTTAGATCACATATATGAAAATGACAATTTAATACCTCTACAATTGTTAAATAAAAAAACAATCTAAACTATATCTTACAGTATAACATATTAAAGGGCATATCTCGATGTAAAACAACACAAGTAAAAACAGTAGACACAAAGTACATTTATAATGTGTTTATTAAGAGTTTATTTCAAAACCCCACATTTTTTTTTTATATATGATAAACTATTTATTTCATGATATTCAAATTTACATCGAATTGCTTGCCAATCGCCTAGTGGCATTATAGGCCAAGCTTAAATACATAATTTATATTTTATACAATTAGGAACAGCATTTTGTCCATTGTGGCATAGAAGAACTGGGGGTGTCTGGCTAAGAATGAGAGTTAGGTGTCAAGTTTTTGGTTCCATGAGGGCAAAAAGGGAGATGAGGATGATACAGAAAAACTATGGAAGGGGTCTTATTTCATATTTTCTTGGATAAAGTTTGCAACGTTTTCAAAAAGTTCATTCTTTTGAAGGATTGAAAGGTCATTACTTCCATATTTCAAAAAATGCATAATTTGGTTTTCATTTTTGATAGTGTTTGGTTTGTATATTGAGATTTTATTAAAAAACATTGTTCTGCTTGCAAGATTTTGAGGGCATCTAAAAAGACATGTTTTGGGGTTTCAGGTAATCCACAAGCACAGTTGGGAGTGTTTAAAGTGGTAAAGTTGTGTGCATATAGTTGGGCTTTAAAAATCAGATCTACTCTGAATCTGTTTAGTACGATTTCTAAGTTCCTGGTAAGCTTTAGTTTGGTTGTAGGGTCAAATTTAGGTTTTGATTCTTGGATAAGTTTTTTTTGGCGACTTTTAAAGATAGGAAGACTTAGACTTTCTTTTAGATATTGTGGAGCTCTGTTCCACAGTGAGGCAGCATTAAAAGCTGGCGACTTTTTCAGTTTATCTGAGCATTTTGCGGGCAATCTATAGTCTAACTTATGTCTTAATGTTCTTGCATTTTGAATTTTTAAAGGCTCAAAAATATCGGTAATGTATTTTGGACATAAATTGTGATTTACACGATACATAAATCTCAAAATTTGCATATCCTTCTGGTCTCAAGAGGTGTCCATGCAAGTGTATCAATGACTTTTTCTGTGCTGCTTCCATGAATACAGCCGCTACAGATAAGTGCTGCTTGGTAGAAGCATTGATTCAAAATATTGAGAAGGTATTTATTCGAAGAGTTAAAAATAATGGCACCATATTCAAAATGTGGTCTTATGAATGATACAAAAATAGTTTCCAAAGATTTAGATGTAAGATTTCGTTGTAGAGACTTAAGCGGATTGATCATTTTATTTACTTTATCTCGAATTGACAAGATGTGTGCTTCATTTGTCAAGTGCTCGTCAAATATAAATCCTAAGTGTTTCTGTGAATTCACACGATCAATGGGTATATTGTTCATGACTGTTTCACTTACCTGTGTTAATTGAATTTTTGACTTATGGAATATTATTTCTTTCGTTTTCTCGGGTTTAAAACTAAGTTTCCATTTTTCAGACCAATGTATAATTTTTCTTATAGATTCATTTACTTTATCGTCAATTTCTTTTGGATTTTGAGTACTAAATGGAAAATATACTGAGGTATCATCAGCATAGATGAAACAGTCTGTGTCAAGGTCATCCGGTAAATCATTTATAAATAAAAGGAAAAGCAAGGGGCCTAATATTGACCCCTGTGGGACACCGCTTTTTATAGCATTTGGTTCAGATAAATGTGAGGAAGTGCCTGCTATTGTGACCCTAACTCTGCGATCATTTAGATATGACTTCAACATTTTGAGAACTTGGCCACCTATACCATATGATTTTGTTTTTAAGAGTAAAAGTCTATGTGGCACACAGTCAAAGGCTGACGCGATGTCTAAAAATAGGGCTTTTATTCCCTTTCCTTTATCCAAATTAGTTTGTATAAGATGTTTAATGGCGACTAGCTGCGCCTGAGTACTGTGCCCTGGCAGAAACCCTGATTGAAATTTAAACAAAAGGTCATTTGAAATCAAGTGGTTTTTAATTCTGTCAGCGACAATGGTTTCAAAATTTTTTGACAGACAGCTCAATAGTGTAATGGGTCGATAGTTCGATATTTCTGATTTATTATTTTTTTTGTGAATGGGGCAAATATTTCCAATTTTCCAGGAGTTCGGGAAAGTGCAATTTTTGAGTAACTTGTTAAAAAGGTAAAAAAAAGGTAAAAACTCCACATCAACTGTAATAACAGATGTGCAAAATAGTGAATTTTATTGGACACTTGCACATCATTTGACAAAAGAAACAAAGTTGATTACATTTCAGTGGAAAATACTCCATAACATTGTTGTCACAAATAATAGTTTATTCAAAATGAAGAAAAAAGAAACCCCTCATTGTACAAAATGTGCTGATAATGTGCTAGATACTGTGAAGCACAGATTTGCATCATGTACTTCGATTCAACCTTTATGGGGTATTATTAAACAACACTTTAGGTATAACTTGTCAGAAGATGAAATAATACAAGGCATTTTTAAAGATGATATTCAAATTAACAAGTTAAATTATATTATACTCATTGCAAAGTGGTGTATACATAAACATACTCTAGGGTTTTATAATACTATTGACTTGTACTATAATTTTAAAATAGAGCTCTCCAAGAGAAATATTATTATGTAATGTAACAGGTTACTTATGTAAACAAATTTTTAAATTGATGTAATCTTTTTAAATTATCTGAAATAAAAAAAAATTTTAAATATAAAAAGAATATAATTTTCTTTGAGATAATGAATTGATCTAAAAGATAAACTTGTCTTCATTGTCAAAAAATAGTCACAATCCAAGATATAACCTTCTGAAATTGTTTGCGATAATCTACGTGATTCTTTTCCTAAAATTGGATCATGGGTCACCTGTCATAAAATTCAGTGTGTCGGAATTGCCGCTTTCTAGATTTAATTGGTGTTCTATGTTAAACGTTTTTTGGTTTTAAAGGGGACATCAATGGAGCTAATTTAGGTTAATTAGACTATATTCGTTTAGTGGAAGGGGGGGGGGGGGGGGGGGGGCTTGAGTGCTACAACTTTGGCCGATTCACAACAAACTTTATAGCGGCACTCTTATTACAATAATGTGAAAAGAGATAACATCATAAACGGATGACACCATAAAAAGATGATACTAAATTGAACCTTACACACCGAATGTTATGATATTTTGTTTACAGGTAATCTAAAGGTCGCATGTACCTATTGTCATAAGATTGCCCCATTAGCCCATCCATAAAGCATAAAGTTTGGTCATGAAATATCTTTTAATACAATTTACATGCTGAATAATTACAAAATATTGACAAAATATGAAACTATTTAGATGAGATACTTTAAAATTGACAATATTACTTTCTATCATATATTCGACTATTATTTTAGAATTACAGGTGTCATCCTTTTTCTGTTAGTGTCATCCTTTTTCAACTAGTGTCATCCTTTTTCTTAGTATCATCCTTTTTTGGTGTCAGCCTTTTCTTCCAACCGATGTAAAGAATTCACTTGATATATGATTCAAAGTGAAATGTAGGTAAAAAAACTACTCATTTCGATTTAACTAAAATAAGTCATGAGCATGTTAATATTTAATTAAAACATTTAAAACAAACAATTAAAAATACCCGGGAAAATACCATGGGCATCCGCCCACCCCAAAAAGTGTGCCAAATTGTCCCCGACGTACAACCATTTCAAATATGTTAGTCGGGGTGTTAAGAATATTCCTGTTATCCCGTGGTATACGGGGTCAGATACCGAAATTCCCCCTTTTCATAAAATAATGCAAAGATTCCCATGGATTCTATTAGGGAATTTTACCTTAGTCGAAGCCCCCCGCGAAAAAGGTGCAACTGATTGGGTACCTTCGCTAAAAGATCAAGAAAGGGGATTAGGTGCACGTGTGGAATATGTCCTCGTGGCATTGGGGTCTAACAATCCAACATAACTTGTCATTACTATGAGAAATCAGAATTATCTAATTCCTCGATACAAACTTAACCCTGATTTCATCCTCTCGTGTGAGAATGGAGTAACTGCTGCATCAAAAAGACAGCAAACTGACGCATTGCAGGTGCGCGGGAACCAATCAATGTACTGGGATCCACTACTTCCGTTTTCCATTCACTTACACATCACTACATATTAAAGGTAGATGATGCCGCAAGCTAAATTGACAGAAACTAGTTCGAGTACAATATCAACATTTTTCCCGATTACCTCGCATTTTTGGAAACATTTTAGCCACGCGTTTAATCAAAGCCAAATGTCAAGAAATCAAAACCAAAAGCAGCTGTTAATGCTATTGAAAGAGCAGAACGTTTATGTTGATATGTCGGTAGTAAATAGTCCGTGTATACGCGAATGAATACGGTATCAATAATTGATGTCAAACTGCCGTATTGTGAGGATCCGATAGACCGGTACAGTTTTTGTTAGACGACTGGATAGCAACTCGATTGTCCTTAACGACCTGAATTGAAAATGGTAAGTATATTTATTTTTCATTAATTTTCATTATCAGGTGTATTGGAAACAGCATACGATAAGAAAATCAAAAGTACAGCATGTTGTAGACTAAAGCATGATATATTCAAGGGCGAGAGGATTAGATTACTGTAGATGGTATTTAGTGCATTGCGCCTAAAATCACCAAGTTAACGTTTATCAGGCCAAAATGCAGTCTAAAAGTACCAAGTATTTACAATCACACTAATATTGCTTAATTATTTTGATTCTCATTGTCTCCGATATATGATAAGATATGGGAGGGTTCCACTTCAAATACAATATTAGTCGCCGGGTGACTAGAGTCGGGTTAAACATGGTTAATGTAGAGCAAGTGTATATTTTTATTTGACTAATTATACATAAAGGAAATACAGATCCTATCTTTGCGACGGAAATCATACAAATTGAGGTCGGCCTTGCCAGGGTGTATCCTTGGCCTATAATAAAGAAAGAAACAATTACTAATACAAATCTATGCGTATTTCGATTTATTGATGGAGCCACTAAATAATGGAGTATACATGTAGTAGCTCAGTAGAAAAGTATTTTTTGAAAAATATTTGAATCCATTAGATAAAAGAAAATTAAACAAAACAGTCTTCGATTAGAATTGTTTTGGCAGAACTGTCAGTTTAATCTTTAAGCATTGCATAGCAACGCTTCGATACTCTGCTTAAAGTGTGGCATGTATTGATCGGAATGAACAAACAGAGATCGTGTACCAAAATGAGCATGATATGACTCAATGAGCATGCAACCGAGGGAATACGGAGATATTATAAGCTTTAACAATATTGTATTGGTAATGGTAACCACCGATGGGGATTGGATTGTTGCCCTTGACAATAGCCATATAAAATTACACAATGGCACTATTAACAATTCATGGTTATTAATACAAAAATTAGCATTGGTTGCAAACGCGGTGATTTGTTATATGCAAATTCACGGGGATTAAGTCAATATAGAGAATGTACATGTGCGTGTGTGTGGGGGGGGACAACTTGTATAGTTTTGCCGATGTATTTACTAATATTTGCTGCTAAACAGCTTGCTAATAGGTGAATGTTTAAATATAGATCATAATTCCGTTACTGGCGGCAATGATCTCCTAAATTTCACCACAGGCCGTGCAGGGGGTAATATAATCGTAAATCTACCTTATGTTTACTTTCCACTGTATAAATATACAATACGAATACACACCCTTCAACCTTTAGAGTTAATATAACAAAATAGTATTCAATTTGTATTCATTTTTGTTGAAGGATGTTGAAATCAATGTAAAAAATTAATGTGATATAAGGTTTACTATATTATTTACTACTTTCTTTTTTTTACTTCAGGCAGATCAACTGACAGAAGAACAAATTGCTGGTGAGTATAACTAGCTGTTATAATTTGTAGTTATCAAAACAAGATTCAGCAATATGATAACAAAGAAAGGACACGTGATAAGTATCAGAATGAGACAAATGTGAAATGAGCTAAATGTTCCTATGATTATTGCATGTTTTGTTGTTTTAATTTTGTCCACTTCCATACATGTATATCTATTAATGATCTGAACAAACAGTGTCACAGTTATTGCGTGCAAGTTCATATTGTCAATCTCCAGTCTTTTCCCTATCATTTAACTCTGCCCTGGAGGTTAATTGAACCAGTTATTCCTGAAACGAAAATCAATATTAATCCGGTTGCATTCTGTTTCTAGAATTCCAAGGACAATAAAATAGTTCCTATAAAAAGCCCCTGAATAAACCAAATGTTATTCATTAAGTATCTTCACATGGTATTATATATCGTCCGGCGACCTAAACATATGGTACTATCTCTAACATATGGTAAAGAAGTACAGTAAATTAAGTAATCTACGTATACATGTTAGTAATCAACCGATATATAATCATCTGATAATTTATTATGTAATTGTCTATAACTGACTAAAATTAATTATGAATATATAATACCATGCTGCCAGTAGGTACAAATGCATAATTGTGCATATGTTTACACACCAGCACACGGGGCCTACTTTACAGCCCCTGCTTTACAGTGCAGTCCCTGGTTGATAATATCGACTATTGGTCTTTGTCTACTATAAAGAGCTATAAGAACACAGAATAACGGTTCCATTATTACATTAATAATTGATACACGTTGTAGTTGCTCTATGTAATTTACATTATTGGATAGACTGAAAACTCGCATCGGAGATAGTAAAATTGCTATCAAATAATAAGTGTTAAATGCTTGAAGTAGACTTTACAATTAAGTATATGTATTCGCTAGAAAATATGTGTCATGAAATTTATTATCTGACAGTATATCTGAAAAATATGAAATAATTCAAGACTTGAATTATGTGTACCCTTTGTCTCAGTATACGTAGATGAAATTCTCTTTTAAAGCAAAAAAACAAAACTATTGAACACGCCTGAGCTAAACGTGGTATTATATTTTCTATGACTATGAAGGGGTACGGTGATACAACTATTATACACACACATCGAGAAGGAACCGCTATAAAGAATAAACTAAAAATATTTGTCATACATTTTAATATTTTGATGCAGTAGGAAAAGTTATCACCAATATCACCATTCATGTGAAGCAGTACCCATGTCAAAAATTTAATTCAATTCCCTTCCTATTTGTGTTCCAGTTGTTCCTTACCAATATCGTGTGTAATATATTAACCTAGTAATAATGTAGCTAGTCGAATTAACTCACAGACCAGATGCATCCAATTCTCTGTCGCAAGAATATTAAGTAATTTACGAAATTGCCTCCTGCAAGATTCCAGGGAAACTGTGTTGTTGATATTTTAAGGAGGTGACTTTTGGAATGTTTTTCCCATTTGAGACTCTGAACAAAATCTGCATCGCACAAATTATTGTTAACTCCCACCAACGATCACCTTAATAGGTGGCCCCTATCACCGGAAATAGTGATTACTCTGTCTCAGAGGGACACGTCTTATCATCAATGTTCTGTACATAACAACGTATTTATTCGCTTTCAGAATTCAAGGAAGCATTTTCCCTCTTCGACAAGGATGGTGATGGCACAATCACAACCAAGGAGTTAGGAACTGTCATGAGATCACTTGGACAGAACCCCACAGAGGCTGAGCTCCAGGACATGATCAACGAGGTTGATGCTGATGGTATGACAATATTTAATTTAGGAATTCTAATTCTGTTTTTCTCCTTTGTCTCATCCGTTTTCCTCTCGGAAAGATTGGAGTCAACAGCAATCCACACTCATCAGATACCTAGGTTCAATGGCAACTGAAAACCTTATAAAACACCACGCACGTTCCAATAAGTCACAGTCGTTATCACTCAACCAATTAAAACAATCCCTAATTAGTAATTTTTATTATTTTTATTTTAGGTAATGGTACAATAGACTTTCCAGAGTTTTTAACAATGATGGCTCGTAAAATGAAAGACACTGATAGTGAGGAAGAAATTCGTGAAGCATTCCGTGTGTTTGACAAAGACGGCAACGGTTTCATCAGTGCTGCTGAATTACGGCATGTAATGACAAATCTCGGTGAAAAACTTACAGATGAAGAGGTAGATGAGATGATCAGGGAGGCAGATATTGATGGAGATGGTCAAGTGAATTACGAAGGTATGTTCATCAAAGTGCTCAATAATTTTTATTTCAGCCATCTATCTTGAGAAATTGCTATAGAAACGTTTATGTTTATGAATTATAACTGTGTGTTGATGTTTCTTGCTGCTTGCCATAATTGAATTAGTTTGATTTTTTATAATTCTGCTCTTTCAGAATTTGTTGAAATGCTGACTACCAAATGATACACTGTAAGATGTGTATTGTATATACTATATACAGACAGAAAACACCACTTTTGCCCATAATATATAAATATCCCTTTTGTTTAAACACTCCATTTAGTAAAAGGCATAGCTGTTTGTGCACATCTTTTAGGTAAAATTAATTAGTCAGTGTATATCCCATCCATCCCACTTAAAATATAACACATAACATATATTTTACATGGTACATCTGCTCATCTGATATTTATTTACATTGTGTTTGTCATAATGATAAAACTGTAGATTATATTACTGTTGTACATTGTCCCTTTATACTGTTAAGCAATCTTAGTATATTTTTAATATTAGTGTTATCTTTGATATCACCCTTTTATATCATTGGTCCTTGATATGTCTTTGTTCAGCTATCAGACAATGAATATAAATTATTCACATAACGAAAATTTATGAATCACAATGTCTAATTTAGCATTGGCCATTTTTGTGTTTTATCTACATATTTGAGATTTAGCCAATGACTATTCTTGTACCTCATACCAAAAACGAGTGTTTGATAACGCAGTTAAAAAATTACATTTCACATGTAATCAAATCTATTTGTTGGAGAAAACCAATGTCTTCTCGACTCCTCTGTATGTCCTTTGTACATAATTTTTCAGTGATTGATTATAAAGCATAATGTTTTTTTTTTATACTTACAGAGTTTGTGACGATGATGACTTCAAAGTAAAAGACCTCTCCATGCTTAAAGCTGTACATTAAATCATTTTCATGGACATTACATCGTAGACTAGTCAATCTTTTTTATCTTGACTATATTCTATTAGATTTTTTAGAATGAAAGTTCCAATTTTATCAATGTAAAGGTGTCTTGTGAATATGATGTCCATGCTTTCAGCATCACCATTTACTATTGGCAAATAAGACACATATATATGTAAATTTTTGTACCTAAATGCCATACAGACATATTTTAAGTAATTTATTATTCAACGAGTGTGCTAACATAGATGTACTTTAATGCTATATTGCCGATACAGTCACTGGTACGACAAGTGGAACATGTATTACGGTGGTGAAGATCATGTTCATGCCACTCTACGTAAAGAAAGATGCGTGGTGGTGGTACCAATACCACAGTGATGACGCCTCTCAGTCTCTACGTAAAGAAAGACGCGTGATGGTGGTTAAAATACCACTATACGTATAATGTTCAAGAAATACGATGGACACCACCATGTTCACATCATTAATTGTTGACATTTATGACAGTTGGTAATGCCATGTTCACACAACATCACAATATGTAGACAAAGCGTTGAAACTTTGATCAGAGTGACTATAATGACTGTTATGCCAATATGTGCTATGTGATAATGTGTCATGTCCTATAAGATTGGAACTACATCAAGTATCATTTTCTTAATACCTTTAACATACTCAATTTAACTGTTAAGATCTGCTTTATATGTACGTACTTACTCAAATGTGCCAGGATAGCAGCTGATATTTACGGATATTATTCATCTTGAATAGTGCAATTTTACGTGCCATTGGTTTGCAATAGTTCAATTTGTCAAAAATGCTTCTGTACTGTATATTACATTTATTACTTCAACAATAATATGCTAAGAGCATTATGTCTCGGTTTCACTTGTGTCATATGTCTGTTTTTACTTTGCAATAGTCAGGCAATCAATTCAGGTACTTGTATGTTTGATACAATGTATGCATTCAAGTCTATAAAATTGTTCAATCTTTTGCTCAACAGCTTCTTGTTTAGATCTCAAAAAGAGATCGTGCTGTTAAAGTACAGCTGACTTATTCATTATTTTTTCATAAAATTATATAATTATGGACTATTATAGAACCTTATGACTTCTATGACGTCATGTATTAAACTTAAAGATCAGTTGAAATTGTAGATTGGGCAACTAAACGAATGAATGGAATCTCAATCATCGCTAGATATTTCACTTTATACATTCCAAGTATAAAAAGATGGATTGATACTCTCAATTATGTTTTTCCAAAATTTAGGAATTTGGACGTGTTTACTTAGACTTTTTGTTGTTGTTTGTGTAATCACAAATGTTCGTTAATGATTCTAACTTTGCCCTCGAGCTTTCTACAGATAAGAAGTTATTGAACCATATATGAAAAATAATGTAAGGACTCCAATGTAAACTAGTAAATACTGTAAAGAGGGTATGTATAAAATAAATTACATTTTTGAACTTATTCAGCATTGTTGGTTAAATTTTTATTATTCCTTTGTATTCCTATGTATTTAATTAGAACAAAGATGGTGTAGAGGAAGTAGTTATTAATTGTACCTTCTCAACTCAATATAAAATAAATAGTACTTTCTTCCAATTTTAATCTTCACCATGCATGATCAAGGCTACATGTTTAGAATATGCTACAAAATTTCTTTTGAAATGTAACCAAGTTGAATCTAAAATAGTCTTGCTTCAAGTTGGATGATATAGTCCAGGGCCTTGAGGCAAGAATAATCTAAAAGAAAATCCATATGTCATTTATATAACCAATTATGCCTCGACCATTCTCTTTAAAGGGTTCTGATTAGCATCCCGTACAAAAACAATATGGCGGCTCCAGGCGAATCAACTGGATCAGTCCATTTTTAAGAAATAAGGGGAGTTCTGTAAAATCCAGTTTATTGAAATTGTCTTTGAGATAAAGTAATCCGTTTATAATGATTTTGAAAACGTTATCCAAAGAGTGATTGCGTTCAAAGAATACATGTACAACAGCCAATATAAATCCTTGTATTAGAACTGCTTTGTTTCATTTGTAGGATTTTCATATGCCAAGCTGTGTGCTATTACGTTATGGGGAAATTTAGATGCCAATTTTTATTATTATACACAAATAGAAGATCCTGAAATTTCACCTATAAATGTGGAATTGATTTGTCAAAATAAAAGTCACCCTTTTATAAATGTGTGACGATCTATAATATACTTATGCTATATAACAGTTAGAGGTGTTGACACAACGACCTCGAACCTGTGAACCCTTGAGTATTATTCCGGGATCGGGCCTTTTATACTAAACGGTGAGCAACACCAGAAACGAGCGTTCGATTTGCTAAACGATATGCGTCACCCTTTAAATGGAACCATTCCCGGTTCCCAGCTAGACCACTAATGTTCACATGTTTTAAAATTAAACCAATTTCCAAACCAAACCAAACGTATTCCGGTATAATGATATGGTAGACAACTAATGTTTACATGTTTTAAAATTAAACAAATTTCCTTTCCTGCTAGCTAGCAAACCACTCACTGATGTTTTAACCGAACATTACACATATACCAAGCTAAAATACTGACCACTTTTTTAAACTAATGTTCTCATATATTACACATATTTGAAGTTATACTTACTGGCCACTAATGTTTGCGTATATTACACACATTCCAAGTTATAAATTTGCTGGTCACTAATGTTTGCGTAGATTATATATATTTTAAATTAAACTTACTGGCCACTAATGTTTGCGTTTATTACACAAATTCCAAGTTAAGCTTACTGACAACTAATGTTCGCATGCATTACACAAATTCCAAGTTAAGCTTACTGACCACTAATGTTCGCATATTTCAAATTAAACTCACTGACCACTAATGTTTGCGTATATTATACACATATATCAAGTTAAACTAAATGATCACTTATGCTCGCATATATTAAACATATTCCAAGTTAAACTTACTGGTCACTAATGTTCGCATATACTATACATATTTCAAATTAAACTCACTGACCACTAATATATGTTTGCGTATATTATACACATATTCCAAGTTAAACTTACAGACCACAAATGTTCACATATATTAAACATATTTCAAGTTAAACTTACTGGCCACTAATGTTCACATATATTAGCCTAAACATATTTCATGTTAGACTTTCTGGGCACTATAATGTTTGCGTATATTACACACATTCCAAGTTAAACTTACCGATCACTATTGTTCGCATATATTACACATACTTCAAATTAAATTTACTGACCACTAATGTTTGCGTATATTACACAAATTCCAAGGTAAACTTACTGGCCACTAATAATTCGTATATATTACACATATTTCAAGTTAAACTTACTGGTCACTAATAATTCGTATATATTTGACATATTCCAAGTTAAACTTACTGGGCCCTAATGTTCGCATATATTAAACATATTCTAAGTTAAACTTGCTGACCACTAATATTTGCGTCTATTACACATGTTACAAATCAAATTTACAGACCACTAATGTTTGCATATATTGAAACTGAGCCCATCCCAGTAAGTTAATTGATCAATAGTTTTACATAAAACAACATTTAGCTACCTAAGTAAAGTTTCCATAGTGTAGGGATTAGGTTTTATCAATAAGGCTGATATAAAGATGGCAGCACTGGCAGAGAAGATATGAAAAACAGATTTATTACCATGCCATCTATATTAAAATTGAACACTTCCCGTGTATAGTGTCTTGATTCATGAACAGGATACATTTGAAACAATTACATGACTGTATAAGATTAAGATTCATATCTGGTAATACTTTAATGCATTTTGAACTTTAATAGTTATGAACCAAATTCAATACTTATAATAGCGATATTTTGCAACTCACTTTTACATGTATATTATTTAAGTATAACGTGTATAACATATGATTTATTTGATTACGTCATCAATTATGCGTAGCTCTATACGTCCAATCGTCCATGGTTGTGATTTTCTTATAAATCATCATCATCGTCTATGGCATTATTTTTGCTTCTTTATTCATTAAATTCAAATATATTCGATATATGAAATATTAATATTCGCTAAATCATTTTCCATTCGGTAAAAACGTTTATATGTTTGTTGCAGCAAATTAAGTTTTCAAAATAGCCAATCACTTAATACTTTGTGCATTAAATTACATATTTCATTCGCTAAATGATATGTTTTTAGCGTAAATTATTTACCACGGTATTCCTTAAGAGTAACACATTGTATGCACAATATTGAATTTCTATTTGAACCCTACCGAAATAAGTTTGCCTATATTTACCCAACGGTTTATTTTCCTATGACATAGTTAATGCATTTACCGAATGCAATAAAGTAATATTCGATAACTTTCGTTGTTGTTCGATATTTTGTCACGTGACTTCGAGATTTGCAAAATTGCCGCGCAGCATCGTTCAAATATATCACATGACTGAAAGTCTCGTAAACCTCTCGTAAAGTATCGAATAATAACGAAAGTTATCGAATGTGGCATTCGGCATTGTTTACCGAATCTAAATAATTTAAATACCGAATGTACAAATAATTAATTGAATAATACGTGCGTTAAAGAAAACAAATAGATTCGCTGCATCACACAAATACATGTACAGTACATATCAAATGTGAATGCCAACACAATGAACAAGTGAAACTATTTAGCGAATATAAATTGTATAGATTATTACATTCGATAAAATAAAAAACATTCAATAGATTGGGTTAAGGTTTGGTAAATTGTTTGTTTTATTTGGTATTCGTGGAATATTTAATGTACTGAATAAAGAAGCAGTTTAAACACCATAATCGACTACGTAAAAATATCAACCTTACGTATAGAGATGCGCAATAAATGATGCATGGTGACGCTTGATTATTTGCGTGGATAATATGCCCAATAAGTTGTCATCCACCTTGTGGTGTATCTAATTTTCAGCAGACATTTGAAAGTAAATGAAATGAAATCTATTCATCTACAGGAGGTTGCTTTATTAAATGATTTGATACATTTATGACATAAAACATCTGCTGTTATATTGACTGTGTATATATACTCGTTTATATACTTGATATACGTTATGTATTACCCTTTGCATTCGTTCGACTTCACTTCTTCAAAGAGAACTTCGTCTTCAGTTTATTACTCGAATCTGCGCGCAGGATATGAAATGTTATGAGCAAAACATTTGAAAATGAGGATCATTTGTTAAATTGTTAATTGTTAATCTCCACTCATGTTTTTTCTGACATGTTATTCTCTTCTTTACTAATAGAAAAAAATTGCTCGTATTAAATGACCTGTTCATAATGTCATTAAAAGGTGGTCAATGACAAATTAATACTACATCTCATCAATGTCAGATGTATAATACATCTTCTCTCCAACATATATTTTCGGTAAAGAGCATTTGGTAACAGTAAACAACATTAATAACCTGTAAAATAATATGTGAAAATAAAGATTTAAAAAAGAAAAAAGAGCATTTTGTCTCAGATGATGTGAAACAGATGGGTGACGCAACTGGATCTTACACAAAAAACGACACCCACCTTTTGTAACATAATTTTGGAAATAAGTTATAATGATTTTATCAACGACAACTACAGTGTTCAATTGATTATTAGATCAGATGTGTTTGAAGATAATCTCACTAATAACATGTATTGTGTATCATGAACACCTGTATTATTCTAAAAATCAAAAGTTTATAAGTTTATAAGACCTCAGTGAGTTCAGTCAGAAAACTGGGATTTGCATGGGTATGACAGTTGCGATGTTACGACGAAATATCATGCGCGTGCTAATGACTACCATCTGTGTTATTTTGCTAACTAATAAAATTACAGGATCTCTGGCAATGGTAAGTGCGGAATTTATATTTCGAACTCGCGATAGACTGTCATTTTGTCAAAACTTGTTACAACTTACAAAATGTACTGTTCTAATAATTTTAAACCCATGACGTGGTGTCACTTTGGTCGTTATACCCCAAGCGTTTTTCTGATACGACTTGCAAAGAAATTGCCGGAACTCTCGTCGATCTAGAAACTAAAATTTCACTTTCATTGACCGTAACAACGTCAAAAATATGTTTTGCAATGGCGATATACTGTAAATTCATCTTGCAATCGTATTAAATTGTAGTTTCCTATGTTACCATTGAACTCAACCTATTGTTTCTGTTTCTTTCTGTGATAACTTTTTTATAATTGTCCCAATCAATTTGGTGTTTTTTGAGGAATATGATCTGCAATTGCTGATTTGTTAAAATAATTAAATGATGCTTTAATAACGATACAATAATAAAAAATAAAAACAGTCTGAGACAATGAACACTAATAAACGGAATAGTTATTTAAATATGTTCAATATGACATTGAAATAAAGATTCATTTTTGTTTATTTATTTTTCCTAGGACAATATTATATTGCGCTCGCACGGACAATATCATATATCCCTTGGTCAATATTGTATTGCCCTGGGATGAAAAAAGCATAATGAGAATAAACCACGAAATAACCTATATTTATTTCATTTCATATTTAAGGCTGACCAGCTCACACACGAACAGATTGCAGGTTGGTTTTCTTTCTAATTTTTCAAACATTGTGTGCTTTGCATTTTAGACGTTATGAATGTATAAAAACACTTACTTATTACCTTAATAAGAGCAATTCAAAAATCATTGTGATATCCAAACATCAAACATATGTTCAGTTTTGAGAGGTGTTCATCGACACATGTTAATCAAACTTTTAGGTTTTATTTTTAGAATTTAAGGAAGCATTTTCCCTGTTTGACAAGAATAGTGATGGCACAATAACAACCGAGGAGTTGGGAACTGTGATGAGATCATTGGGACAGAACCCCACAGAGGCTGAACTCCAGGGCATGATCAACGAGGTCGATACTGATGGTATGACACAATTAATTAAACGAGTGACTGTCCATTTCATATGGGAGGGGATGACCTTCGAATAAAAATAATCTGGCCTGAATAATATTGAAGAAATTCTGGGTCTAGGTACACTGAAACTTTGTCTTTGATTTATTGGCAAGGAATAGTGTTCTAAGCCCTAAACCTTTTCATCTGATGGGTTAAGTCTTACCAACGAATGCTATCAAAGTGAACTGCTTGTAATATTGTACACTTGAGAGATGATCCAGAGAATCCAGAATCCAGAATCCACCAAATGCTGCTTAATCTACATAGTGTTAGCCTTGCCCAAGTCGGTATTTTTTACTTATCTGATCTTGATAATAGAAATCGAGATAAGTAAAAGAGACCAACTTGGGCAAGGCTGACACAGTGTTTGCATTCTTAGATTTACATAAACCCCTCTAATTGATAAGATTTCAATTCAAAATGTTATTTATTAGTTATTTGTCAAACAAATACATCTTGTCATATTTTTGTAATATGGTGTTCACATTTCAAGTGTTTTCAACGTGGTTCTCCCTGGCAGATAGATAAATGGAACCTTAAGAAGCATTTCCAGATGTTCAGAAATACAGTTTTTTGTGTATACTGTCTGTACCTTTACATACATTATATATCTTGTTCAAGTCCATATTATTCCATGTTTAACATCATGTACTCATCCTTTAAGGTAATGGTGCAATAGACTTCCCAGAGTTTTTAACAATGATGGCTCGCAAAATGAAAGATACTGACGCTGAGGAAGAAATTAAAGAAGCATTCCGTGTGTTTGACAAAGATGGTAATGGTTACATCAGTGCTGCTGAATTACGGCATGTAATGACAAATCTCGGTGAAAGACTTGCAGACGAAGAAGTAGATGAGATGATCAGGGAGGCAGATATTGATGGAGATGGTCAAGTGAATTACGAAGGTAATGAGGAGTTATTCCCTACTTTTGCTTGCGCTTGTAGCTGCTTCAGTTTTAGTTAGAATTATCAATTTAGAATGGAGATATTTCTTTTTGATTTCTTTAAGTTTTAGTTGACTTATTTGTGCATGCTTTGCCAACATTGTAGCAATTTCAACTCATGGATGTCTTATGTAATTAACACCACTTGTATCACCTTTATAGTTTATACTAGAATTGATTCCATATTCTACACACGCTAAGCTTTAAAATGATACCAAATTCGCTCTGCTCTACCATGGGTGAACCAGTTTCAGTTTTAAGGCCTCTTAAACATGATTTGTTACTGCAGTATTAAACATGTTGAGTTGCATCCTATATTAGCCTAGCACGTGTTCCTTATACTTATAGTGTATATAGTAGTATACACTTATAAGGATAAGAATTTCTACATTTTTTGTATTTCAGAATTTGTTAAAATGATGATGTCTAAGTAATCCTCCCTTGCATGCAATGCTATCAGTAACAAGTTGCAGTACTAAATTCAACACATGGGAGCTTTCACTGAACTAGTCAACAAACATTTAGCTAAAACCATATTTCACAGTTCATTTTTGTGTGTATTTGTACAGTTATGACAACTGAGTTTGGCGTGTCTTGAGTTTGATCTGAATATAAAATGTTGTACACACAGTCTGAATGTTCTGTCATTTTGGACAAATGATCCGTGTTATATACTACAGGGTGTCCCGAAAGTATGCCCCCCCTAGGCAGACATATACCAGTGTCATCATAGTATGTGTCATATATCATTTTAAAGCTTATCCAAAGTTACATTGATTCACCAAGTATCATGGTTCAACTCTTAAATGTGAAAAAATTACAGGCATTTCAAAATTTAGTGCTTGGTCAAAATTAAGTTCAATTTTACACCAAATCAATAGTCATTGTGTCCTCCCGGGCCATTTTAACAGCAGAAATTATTTTCGGGTCAGATAGATATTGAGTTGGAAAAAGAGAACGATGAGGGTAGAAACTCTAAGGAAACTCTTCTAAAGTTCCTTAACAGGTTTTAAGAGGGTTATAAAATTTCACACCCCTATTTGAAGGGCTTTTAAGGTCATTTCTGAGGATAATTGCTGTGAACATGGCCAAGGGGGGACTCATTGACTAGTAATGTGGTGTAAAATTGAACTTTATTTTGACAAAACACTAACTTTTAAAATGACTGTAACTTTTTCCCATTTTAAACCATGATACTTGGCAAATCAATGTAACTTTGGATAAGCTTTAAAATGATATATGACACATACTATAATGACACTGGTATATGTCTGCCTAGGGGGGAGGGGGGCATACTTTCGGGACAAGAAGAGGAAGAATTCAAAAAATTAAAATTAGTTTTTCGATTTGAAGGTACCAGAAACAATTGTATTTTTGTCGTTTCTCTCTTCCAATTCTTGAGAATGAAATACATTTTCCGAACCTTTTTGAAACAAAATAGAATATACAAGATTTTATTGTATTATAGTATACAAAGGGAAATTTGGTTGATTTCACAAAAAAGCATTCATAAATTAAAACAAAAATAGATAAAAATGTAAACCTTTTATTTCATCAACAAGATACTTTTTTAAATCACGTTGTGTATGTGCCGTTCCAATGATGTTCGGAGAGATGTTTTGTTTCATTCTGAACATATGATTCAAAGAAGTGTCAGATGTGTTTTCTAAAACAATTTAGCGAAATATGTATATGTTCTTTAAATTAAACTGTTACCATTCAAAAAGTGGAAATTAGATTGACGATGTGTAAAATTTTCATGATTTTTGATGATTGGTTTAAGAAAAAATGTTATTTATTCAGTTCGCCATATCGAAACCAACCGTTTCAAGGAATCTTGCTTTTTTCAGCATATCGTAAAATATTTTTAAAATTATGACCCCTAAACAATGAAATAATGGCTGCCATAGCAACATTATAGGTGCGTTGACACAAACATCAATTCTACTCAATTTTGATGGAAGTATGTATAATATGATGTGGATTTACATGGGTTTGAGCTTTGCATTCTCCATTACATTTATGCCAGTTGGTTATTCAAGATATGTCCGTTATAGTGGTTACATTCTCAGTATGGCCCATTCATAGTATAGTCGATGTGTCATTTTCTGAACCTTTGAATCTGTAAAAACACGATGTTTTATTGTTGAATCACTATCATAAGGGTTTTATGAAGTGATTTAACTGGGTTGGACAAAGGGCAACCTTGGGGAAAAAAATTATATATGCAAATGAAGGTGTCGATTATATAAAAGCGATTTTTTGAAAGCCTTTGACTCAATTGACCATACTATTTTGCTTATTGATGAAGTTAAAAAAAAGAAATCAACTGTGTAATAGTGGTAACATGGTATAATAGCTAAGAACACTTACACAGTGTCTCATTCAACCATACTTCATCATTCACTCATGGTGTGATTCAGGGATCTGTTTCATTTTATAATATTTTTCTATACATTAAACACCTACATAAATCAAGTAATGTATTTGTCACTATTGGTGATGACACACATCTAATTTCATCATACAAAACGGTTGATATCTCTAAATATGCTAAACATGCATACCATATATTATCCTCCACTTAGTGTACTAAATGTATAATAACATTAAAAAATAAATTTGATATTTATTGGCAAAATGAAACCGGAGGATATCGTGATGATATACTCCGGGCGGAATATATCGTAGCAATATACTCCGGAAAACCCAATATGCGGAGGATATCGTGACGATATACTCTGCTTCTTGATTTCCCACCAAATTGACTCTATTTGGCATGAAATTCATTCTGCAATGATATCATACATTTAGTACACTCCTTTTAAGTGTAGGATAATAAGAACATCCTCTGATTCTTTCAGAATATCATTTTAATCTAGTCGGTGATATTGATATATACAGGGTGTCAAAAAACAACGGCACCCCCCTCTACAGCAAAAAGTCCTGAATGTTCCATATCGTGTCATACCTCATTTGAAAGATAATTTAATTCTGGAGTTACTCATCAAATTCCATTTAATAAAACTTTATATTAAAAAAGCTACATTGTTTCAAAGTTTGCTACTTCGGTACTTTGTTTGCTGCTCTGTTACTGGTTAAAGGTCAAATCTTAAGATAGTGGAATATGAAAGAATTAGCCCAATTTCAATTGCACTGAAAAACAGGGTATAGGAACTGATGGACAAAAAGCCTCTTGAAAAAAGATCCAGTTAGGATGTATTTCTGAAGAATATGAGGAAAGTGCTTAGAGGATTATGCAATCCTTCACCTTTATATGAATTTTTATTAAAATCATATCCGTCCAGATAAGCTGCTGTTTGAGCAGCAACTGGTGCTCATACCAACTACTAAGAATCAGCTGTAAATCTGTAAAATTATATGATATAAAGCTGAAATTTCTCAGATAACTCCAAAATTAAATTGTCTTTAAAATGAGATATGACAATCCATGAAACATTAAGTACTTTTTGCAGAAGAGGGGGTGTCGTTGTTTTTTGACACCCTGTACTTTGCTCTCTCGTGCAGATATCAATATCACCTCGTAGATAAAAATGATATTCTCCAAATCATAGGATATCCTATATACCAGCGGCCCAGTTTATAAAACAAAAGGCGGATAAAGCAAAGTTTAAATTGTTCTCTTTACTCTCTAATGCTGATGTAAAGCCAAAATTGGCAATTAAAATATTTGACCAAATTGTCAAACCAATATGTATGTATGGAGCAGAAATATGGGGGACCGGCAATCTTAATAATAGAATTATCAAAACTGATCCTAAATGGGCACTAGAAAATTCGTATGACAAGATCAAAATTGAGTCAACCCATATGTCGTTCCTAAGATTTGTGTTGGGTGTACATAAGAAAGCTAGTAACTTGGGAATTAAAGGCGAATTGGCGAGACTACCTTTATTCGTTGATATTATCCCCCAACAAGTTAAATTTGTCAATCACTTAGAAAATCACTCTTCAAAGTTTATAAGAGATACACTAAAACTAAGTATTTCTTTGGCCAATAGTAATCAGCCTTCTTGGTATAATGACTTGCTAAAAGTACTCAAATTTATAGGTTTTAATGATTATCATAATGTCGACACTAAGAAATTAAAATCTAGGCTTAAAGAAAGATACGAACAATACTTTGAAAACATGCTAAAAGATACCAATGGCAAATTAAGGTTTTATAAACAAATCAAATTTTCATTTCATTATGAAGATTATCTTGACCATATTAATGTGACGACCGTCTAGCAATAGTTCTAGATAGTGTCATTTTGTTCTTAGTACGCTAGACGGTGTCACATTGTCTTACCTTGCTTCCGCCATAAGTGGTGACTGAGTATATTTCTGTAAAGGTGGTGAAATTTAACTTTATTTGGAGATTTTACTTCTCCCCGAAATTATTTTTGTGTTTATGTGAGCTTCCGGGGTCACAGCCTCGTTTTGGATTACGATTCATTTTATTTAATAACATCATATTTTACCACTTTTGCATAGTTTTTTCGATGTAAATGCAACATGTTATGATCAATATTGATTTAAAGATCAATATGGTAAGTTTTTATTCAAGTAATGTTACGTACTTTTGCAGTAAATCGACAATTTCAAAGTCACGTGATATTTTCAGCCAATCAGAGGCCTTCTCTCTCACATTCAATTCACATCTTCGTCAATATTCGTAAACAACAAAGGACAGATAGGTATGCTCTAAATATTTGGTTGATTTGTATGCTTCCCAGTTACTTTCCCGGTGTAAGATATAGTTTTACTTAATTGTCGAACTAACACCAGACCCAGGGATCGTAGGCATTCAGCCAATTACACTTTTTGAAGTGAGATATCAGTTTTTGGAAACGGCCGATTCACACTTGTTGAATTTTGGGCGGCCATTTTTGCATCTCATGCAGATTCCAAATTTTGATGCCTTAATTCATCTCAGTGTCGAGAGTTGCATTGGTATTTTGCTTATATAATTGATCTTGAGTATTTCATTTAACTTTTGAGAAAGTAAGGCCGACTGATTTTCATTTTTGAAGTTACTTTTTCGAAGCTGTATCTTTGTCATTTTTCATAGAATTCTCATTGACTTGAGCACATGATTTCATAAACTCACATTTTTGATAGTTTTATATATTTGAGTAATATTTGAGCTTGCTTATACTAGTGTGATATAGATTCACACCTTTACATAAGTATAATCAAGTTATAGTGTTATAAAACACATTTTGATCTTATTTTGGATTTTTGTCTGTTCGACACTTTGTCGTACAGGTTAAATTGCCAAAAGCTTGCCATAATTTCATTTTGAGTAGTTCCTTTTGTTGCGATACTTTATCGTCACTAATATTGTGAGTTTAGAAGAGATACTGTATTTCTATTGTGTATTTGACTGTTTTTATTGTAGTTATTTGGTTGACATGTGATAGACATACTGTTTCATGCTTTATGTCTGCCACATGTAACTAACAGTCTGGTACATTGAAATATCTCTGGTGCTTATTGTACATATTATTTTCATACATTGAGTTTTATATTCATATTTCCAAGGTGATACTATTTCACTTTGTGTTACTGTAGCTCAGTTGATATTTCATGTGGGGAATATACTGCATTCAGCAGTGTAGTTTTCACATGTAATAAGCTACTTTTAGGTGATATTTTGATATTGACATAATTTGATACTGCTTCGAATCTCAGTTTAACAGAATCTCAGGGTGATATTTTTCACTTTGTGCCTTCGCGAGTAATTTTTTGTGTTAGATATATTGTATTGGACAATATATCTACTACATTAGATTATTAAGGCAGTAGAACAGTTTAGAAACTTAAACAACATATACATTTGCATATAATCACTTAAGCTCAAACCAATTGGTGCTTCATATCATAAGTCTGGTATATAATTTCCCGATCAAGTGTATATATCAGGTAAGTGTAGTGTAAATACAAACAGGTCTTGCCAACTTAGTCAGGGTAATACAGCATTAAGTGTAGAGTAATTTATAGTCAAAACTTCAGGTGCATAATATAATTGTGTAAATATACAGTGATCATCATACAGCCTAGTCTTTAAAGCTCCATTTCATAATCATGTAAATAAAAGTAATTTACAACTTTTGATACCAAATACTTATTTTTGTAAAAGAAAGCAATAAAGTAGTTTTTTTTCTGTTTATATTTTAAAGTTACATCACATTGTCTGTTTAATTAGTGGTACGTTTTATGTCGCAGAGTTGCGACATACAGCCTCTATAGGAGACTCTAACCAATCCACACACATTATATTAATCTTCAATAAAATATTATAAACCCAAGTATTGTACATTAGTTATATCCATAGTAAGAGATTCAATATTTCAAGTTTTCTCTTTTATCTGTAAGACTCTGATATTTTGGCTCGCTACCATCTCAAATTACTATCGGGGTCATTACAGAAACTGGCTGGCAGCGTTGGGATTGAAATTCATATTTTGTGTGTGTGTTGTGCTACATTTGTCAATTTACTCTGCGAACGACCACTATAATGACTGTTCAAAATTTCGTTCATTGTTTTCACTGCAGTCATTCAAATGTTCCATTGAGAAAGATAGGCTGTTGGCACTACATATGTAACACATGTGAAAATTACCTCAAGTTCAACGACACTGTGTATTACCCTGAGCAAGAAATTGAAGCCTGTCATGCCTGCATTGATTCATGGAAGTTAGACCCAAACTGTTGTAGCGATTGCTTTGCATATGTAAGTTACCCTGGAGAACCTCATAATTGTCCAAGTATTATAATTGCCCAACAAAAGGCTCAGGCTAAGGATAAGTAGATATTCAAGTTAGGTAGATGCCAACAAGATACTGATTACATGCAAACAGGCACATATACATTCAACGCAATTGTACATTATTGGCTATATTAGCTACACAGAACACACACGCATTGCATACCATATCGAACGCTTTATATTAAAGTAACTATGGCTTCTACGCCTGTTAGAGAGTCCTCAAATGTTGCGGAAGATGTCCGGTTTCTTTCCTCTCAAATGGAAGACACCGTCAAAATTGTCAGGTATAGTGACGGGGAAGTATCCATGAAATACCCTTCTGACAATGTCACCACTAAGGGTGACAGTGGTATGAATACATTAACCACGGGTGAGTTATCTGCTCCTGAGGTAAAATATGGTAAATCAGGTGAATTATCCACTCAAGGAAAGGTTGACATAGAAGTTGAAAATTTATCGGGGGCATATGCACAGGGTGGGGCACGTCCTAAAATTCAACCCCGAATGACACCCAGACCACATGATGTTGTTAAAACAAAATTGGCATTCTCAGAACTTCCATTCCGGGAGACACCTTTGTCTGTTTATGGTGATAATCAAAAAGATTATGGTGCGGGTGCTTCTAACTGGCCAGAGAGGTCCCCGGGTCATGATTCAAATGTAGATTTAAGCCTTCCACCACCTCTTAAAAGGCAAACACCCATCACATCTGTTGATACCAATCCCTTCAGATCTTTTCAATCAGGTGGTCAAACAGATGGATCTTTGTTTCCAGCTAATAGGATATATCATGATCCAAAGTCCACACAGGTTGTTGTAACAAACATCAAATCAACTGTTGTTGAATCGCCCAGTGCATCATATTACCGCGCACGCACGACTTCATCGGGTGTTCGGCGCACGTCTCCTACTGTAACGCTCTATGGTCCGCCTACGTCGCATACTGGTGTTACATCCTCTTATTCAATGGCTCCACCAGTATGGCCTAATCCATATTTGCCGTACATGTACGGACAAGGGTATCCATTGCCTCAGGTTTATCCAAATGTAAACACTTTAGAGGGGGTAAATCATGCTCATATGCCCATACCAGGTCAAATGTATTCTCAAGAGGGGCAAAGTGTTCCATTTATACAGGGATTTCGTGGTGCTTTCCAAACTTCAAGGCCTGCTTCACAAAGAGGCAGTGACGTAAATAATGATCCCTCCAAACATATCACAAATCCGTTCATGAGTGAAAATCAAACAATGGTGCCTGGCCCTTACCCATTACCCAGAGTTGCATCTCGGGTAGCCAGTCCCTTTGTGCCGATAGCAAATAACTCCAATGTTATGGTTCCATACGGTTCACATTTGGTTCAATCTCCAGTCCCGGTGCATCCGTTGACTACACCTGTAGCACCTTCAACGGTTCCACCGCAGACTCGAGCTCATTCTGTTGAAAACATACCAAATTTTCCAAAATTGTCCCCATATGATGGTACGTCTCATTGGCCTGACTTCCGGACGCAGTTTGAAATCATTGCATCCATAAACAATTGGTCTAGTTCTACTAAAGCTGTGCAACTTATTGCATTATTAAGAAAAGATGCACTTTCTACCCTGACTGATCTTGACTCTGATGAGCGTAGTTATGAAAAAATCATTGAAGCGCTAAATATGCGCTTTGACCCTCCTCATCAGGCCGGGAACTTCAGGGATAAGTTGCACGATAGAATTCGTAAACCAAAAGAAAGTGTGACTGAATTAGCACATGATATCAGACGTTTGGTAAAAAAGGCTTATCCAGAAGCCAATGCACAGATTCGCGAAGTCATGGCCATTGACTCGTTTCGTAAAGCTCTAAATGATGTAAACTTTGAGTGGGCAGTCAAAAACAAAGACCCTACAACCCTCAATGAAGCTTTACAAATTGCCCTCAAGTATGATACATTCCATGCTAATCGTACCCAACCTAATCTTTCTTTGCGAAGTACCACTGTCTTGCCGGATGTTACGCCTGAGGTTATCATTTCTGAAAAAGTGAATTTGTTGTCCTCTGACGTGGCAGCCACCATGGCAGAGAATGCTCGCTTGACTGAAGAAATTAAAAGGTTAAAAGAGGGAAAGAGCTCCCAAAGGCCCTACAGATTTCAAGGGGAATGTTGGTACTGTGAGAAAAAGGGGCACAAAAAATTTGAGTGTCGTAAGAGACAGTATGATGAGAAAAATGGCATTGAACCACCCCAGAAAAGTCAAAACTCAAAAAACTAGAAAAGGCGTCACCAAACGGTCCAGGTGACGCTGTAGAATATTTTGGACCGTATGTTCCTTCCACTGGAGTTAACAATGCCCTTTATTTGCCTGTGAATTTTGGGGGAATTATTGTTTATTGTCTCATTGATACCGGGGCAACCCTCAGTATTGTTAGCCCAGAAATTGTGAAAAAGATTGAAAAATCAAATCCAGCCATTGATGCTTCAAAATGGGAAACCGGGCCCGGTATTCAGATGGCAGATGGTCGAGAAATCAAAGCTCTTGGTCAACTTGCCACTCTGCTCAACTTAGGTCAAGGTATTAGAGTCCATCAACAATTAATGGTTGCAAACCTCAATGCTGATCTGGTTCTTGGTTATGATTTCATGGTCATGAATTCAGCTGTTCTCAATGTAAAAGATCAACTTTTGCTCATGCATGGCAGGCAATTTCCCTGCACTCTTGAGAGTCAATTGCCTGTACTATATAACATCGCCAATGCAGAAACTGTCACTGTGCCTCCATATTCAGAAATGGTGGTAAAGGGGCAGCTGCTGGGTGATTTTGAAAGTGAAAATACAGCTGCATCCATGCTCATTGAAATGAATACTCAAGTGTTGGAACAGAATCTTATGGTAGCGCGCGCCCTTGTTAATCCATCTTCACAAGAGATTCCTGTTCTCATAACTAACGTTCATCCAGAGCCAGTAACAGTATATAAAAATACCTTGATAGCACATGGTGAATTTCTGGATGATGACCCACTTTCCAAAGGGGGGGATCCTTCTGAAGATAGTGGTGCTCATAAAGCCCCTGGTAATGCACAAAGTTCAAATGTTTGTTCATTAAAAAACTCAAGTAATCCTGAGCCTTCTCTCGCAGATATCCCTGAGCACTTAATAGATCTCTGTGAAAGAAGTACTGAAAATGTTGACTCAGAAGATACAGAAAAAGTTGTTGACTTCCTTCTCCGAAATCAAAATCTCTTTGCTAAAAGTAAACTTGATCTCGGTAGGACGGACGAGATAACTCACAAGATAAATACGGGTGACTCTCATCCTAGAAAACAAGCTCCCAGACGTATTCCTCCAGCTAAAAAAGCTGAAGGGGAAAAAGCAATTCAAGATATGCTAGATTTAGGTATTATACGTCCCTCCAAAAGTCCCTGGGCCTCCCCAATTGTACTAGTCCCCAAAAAGGATGGGTCCCAGCGCTTTTGCGTAGACTACCGACAACTAAATGAGATAACATACAAAGACGCGTATCCGCTACCACGCATCGATGACACCATCGATTCGTTATCTGGCGCGAAAGTGTTCAGTACCCTTGACTTGGCTTCGGGGTACTGGCAAGTTTCAATGGAAGATGATGATGCTGCCAAGACTGCATTTACTACACACCAAGGGTTATTTGAATTTACCGTTATGCCCTTCGGGTTGTGTAATGCTCCGGCTACTTTTGAACGCCTAATGGAGTGTGTGCTTGCCGGACTCCGATATGAGTCTTGTTTAGTATATCTTGACGACATCATCGTGTTCAGTTCCTCCGTGGAAAATCATCTCGAAAGACTGAATGAGGTCTTTGATCGTCTGGAATCCGCGGGTTTGAAACTCTCACCCAAAAAGTGTAACTTGTTCCAATCCAAAGTTACCTTTCTTGGTCACGTAGTGTCTGAGGAAGGTGTAGCTCCAAATCCTGAAAAATTGGAACTCATCCAATCCTGGCCCCAACCAAAGAAGTTACGTGATACTCAAGCATTCCTCGGTTTGTGTTCATACTATCGTAGATTTGTGAAAAACTTCTCCAGTGAAGCACGGCCCCTTAGCCGCCTTTCTGAGAAAAATCAAAAATTTGTATGGGCCGAGGAATGTGAAGAAGCCTTTTCTCAACTAAAGACTCATTTCCGTAACACTGAAATTCTGGCATTTCCTGACATGTCCCTGCCCTTCATTTTGGATACTGATGCTAGTTCCTGTGGGTTGGGGGGTGTCCTGTCCCAGATTCAGTCCGAAGAAGAACGCCCGGTTGACTTCTACTCTGCTACCTTGAGTAAGGCAGAACGTCAATACTGCACTACTCGCAGAGAATTGTTGGCCATTGTGAAATCCGTGAAACACTATCACCATTTTCTCTATGGTAACCATTTCACCATTCGCATCGATCACGGTGCATTGGCCTGGCTCATGCGTTTTAAGGAACCAGAGGGCCAGCTGGCCCGATGGCTACAAGTGCTTGGGACTTATGACTTCACCATTGAAGTCCGTCCTGGTACAAAACACGGAAATGCCGATGCTTTGTCCCGCAGACCTTGTGTCGATTGTTCGCACTGCAATCGACAGGAGGAGTGGGGCAGGGTATCACCAACTCCTGTGTCATCTTCCGCTGATGACCCAGTGAAATCAGGTGTCCCCGTAGATGAATCTGATCCTGTCACTGAAATTCCTTCGGTGAGGTTCACTTTCAGTCTAACACCTAGATTTGAAGTCCGTACCGTTCAAGGTCCAAGTAAACCAAATGATTCTGATCCAATTACTGGCTGTAATTGGTTGCCAGGAGTCACACAAACCCAGTATAACGAGGCCGTTGACCAAGATCCCTTGTTGGCTCCCATCAAAAAATGGATGGAGATTGGTCATCGTCCTCCATGGTCAGAAGTAGCTCCCAGGTCCACTGATCTCAAGCGTATGTGGTCTCAATGGGATCGCCTTCGTTTGCGTCAAGGGATTTTGGAACGAAAGTGGTTAAATGAAAACCAAGAAAATTGGCAAATTGTTGTACCTTCATCCCTGCAACTTGACATTCTCCATGGCATGCACAATCAAAGAGATGCTGGACACTTAGGTGTTACCAAAACCATCCATCGAGTAAGGAATCGGTATTACTGGTTAGGCTACAAAGCTGATATTGCTCGATGGGTGGCAGAATGTATTGTATGTCAAAAGAGAAAACCGCCAAATAGAAAACCAAAAGCCCCCATGAAAACGTATAATGTGGGCGCACCTTTGGAACGGGTTGCTCTCGACATATTGGGTCCCCTGCCGGAAACTTTGTCAGGTAATAAGTATGTGGTAGTAATAGAGGACTACTTCACGAAATTCATGGAACTAGTGGCCATGAAAAATCAAGAAGCCTCTACAGTTGCCACAGCTTTCCTAAATGAGTTCATATGCCGGTATGGAGCGCCATTAATTGTCCACTCTGACCAAGGTCGGCAGTTTGAAAGTAACCTTTTCCAAGAGTTGTGTGACATGTTACAGATTGATAAGACAAGGACTACCCCTTACCATCCTCAGTCAGATGGCATGGTGGAGCGGTCAAATCGGACGATTGAGGCTATGCTTGCGAAAGTTGTTTCTCCGCATCATCGTGACTGGGACGAACATCTTCCCTTTATTGCGGCAGCATATCGTAGTGCCCGTCACGAAACAACCGGCTTTTCGCCAGCGTACCTCATGTTCGGTCGTCAGCCCCGCCTTGCGTCTGAGCTGGTAGTGGGTCCTCCTCCACAAATATTGTGTGAAGATCTTGATGAAACATATTACACTAAATTTTGTCAAGAACTGCAAGCCAAATTGGTTCAGACTTACGATGCCGCCCGGGGTCATATTCAGATCAGTTCTGATACTCAGAAAAAATATTATGATTTGAAAGCAAATTCACAATCTATATCCCCTGGCGACACCGTATGGTTACATGTGCCTGTTACAGCTGTAGGTCACAGTCCAAAATTTCTTAATCCCTGGACTGGCCCATACAAAGTGACCTCAAAGTTGTCGGATACTGTTTTTGAACTGGATGTTAAGGGAACTCCGAAAGTCGTCCATGAAAACCGACTTAAACAGTATATCGGAGATCCCATTGACAGGCCAGAACAGTCCCCTGATCCACTTGCAGGTACCCCTGATGACACAGAAGAGGCCCAAATTAATTCTCCTTCTGTTGTAGAAGATGTCCATCCAACCCGGTCTGGAAGGCCGCGAAAACCACCCAAGTGGTTAAAAGATTATGATTTGGAATAATCGCCAAATGTTTAACACATTGCTTGTTTTGCTTCTTTTCAGGATGGTGGTCTGCGCCAAATACAAAACCAAGGGACTCGTTTGTGGGGCGGAATTTCCTACAAAAGAGGAACTTGACCAACATGATATCAACCAACATCAATATGTGTATTGTCAGTTTAAATACTGCAAATTTATGTTAAGAGGACGCACCACAAAGACACGCCAACGGATGGACAGGCATGAGCGCAATCATGCTGAGAAGAGGAAACACTTTCCAAATGGACATAAAGATATCCAATCACCTTTAGTTACTCTAAAACAACTGCCAAAACCATTGATGGCTATAACCGTTCCACCCCAAATCTCTGCCTCCACAACATCAGTGTCCAAGAATTTCACCTCTGTGTCCCCTTGGACAAAGAGCACTCTGCCCATTACTTGTCCTGATAAGATCTTGGACTCTGATCAAGAAACAGAGATTTATGAACATGACCAGATGAGTTTAGGTGAACTCCGAGGAAGGATTACGGCCATCCGAGCCAAAAGTTCAACAACGTACAAGCGGAAATTGAGGGAGATATCATCGTCTGACTCAGACACTGGCTCTGACTCTGATACTGAGAAGAAAGGGGAGCAGGTGGAGTCACCCAACGCTTCACCTGTGCGATCCCCTAGCTCAGACACAGAATCATGTAAATTGGACAATGAATCGTCAACACCTGCCACAGAACAGCCATCGGGAGTACTCTCAGTAACTGAAAGTGTCCAGGACCATATGCCACCATCATCTCCAGAAGTATTGAGACCTGAATCTCCAAATATGGACATTATAATACAATCTAAACCACTGGATTTGTCTATGAAACGACCAACACCACAGAAGAAAACCAAAGTCAGTTATAAACAACCGTGTCAATGTGGAAAATCTATTCAATACATAACTATTAACATTGGCAAGTAACTGTATTGTGTATTTGAGCCCCTGCTTCTTCCAAGAATACCATAGGGGCCATGTGTTTTATTTATTGACATTTCTGAACCATCTAGAAAACAGTCCAATTTATATATTCAAGTGTTAAACGCAGATGTCAGACGGGAGCAGCTGGACACAGCGATGTCCCCAACTATAGTGTTAATAAATCAGCACTTTTGCTGATGGACATTTTTTATATACGTCATTTTACGATAAGTTTGTGCTCATTTTATAATCATCATTCCTGTTCGAGGGCGAACATTTTTTCAAAAGGGGGGATAGTGTGACGACCGTCTAGCAATAGTTCTAGATAGTGTCATTTTGTTCTTAGTACGCTAGACGGTGTCACATTGTCTTACCTTGCTTCCGCCATAAGTGGTGACTGAGTATATTTCTGTAAAGGTGGTGAAATTTAACTTTATTTGGAGATTTTACTTCTCCCCGAAATTATTTTTGTGTTTATGTGAGCTTCCGGGGTCACAGCCTCGTTTTGGATTACGATTCATTTTATTTAATAACATCATATTTTACCACTTTTGCATAGTTTTTTCGATGTAAATGCAACATGTTATGATCAATATTGATTTAAAGATCAATATGGTAAGTTTTTATTCAAGTAATGTTACGTACTTTTGCAGTAAATCGACAATTTCAAAGTCACGTGATATTTTCAGCCAATCAGAGGCCTTCTCTCTCACATTCAATTCACATCTTCGTCAATATTCGTAAACAACAAAGGACAGATAGGTATGCTCTAAATATTTGGTTGATTTGTATGCTTCCCAGTTACTTTCCCGGTGTAAGATATAGTTTTACTTAATTGTCGAACTAACACCAGACCCAGGGATCGTAGGCATTCAGCCAATTACACTTTTTGAAGTGAGATATCAGTTTTTGGAAACGGCCGATTCACACTTGTTGAATTTTGGGCGGCCATTTTTGCATCTCATGCAGATTCCAAATTTTGATGCCTTAATTCATCTCAGTGTCGAGAGTTGCATTGGTATTTTGCTTATATAATTGATCTTGAGTATTTCATTTAACTTTTGAGAAAGTAAGGCCGACTGATTTTCATTTTTGAAGTTACTTTTTCGAAGCTGTATCTTTGTCATTTTTCATAGAATTCTCATTGACTTGAGCACATGATTTCATAAACTCACATTTTTGATAGTTTTATATATTTGAGTAATATTTGAGCTTGCTTATACTAGTGTGATATAGATTCACACCTTTACATAAGTATAATCAAGTTATAGTGTTATAAAACACATTTTGATCTTATTTTGGATTTTTGTCTGTTCGACACTTTGTCGTACAGGTTAAATTGCCAAAAGCTTGCCATAATTTCATTTTGAGTAGTTCCTTTTGTTGCGATACTTTATCGTCACTAATATTGTGAGTTTAGAAGAGATACTGTATTTCTATTGTGTATTTGACTGTTTTTATTGTAGTTATTTGGTTGACATGTGATAGACATACTGTTTCATGCTTTATGTCTGCCACATGTAACTAACAGTCTGGTACATTGAAATATCTCTGGTGCTTATTGTACATATTATTTTCATACATTGAGTTTTATATTCATATTTCCAAGGTGATACTATTTCACTTTGTGTTACTGTAGCTCAGTTGATATTTCATGTGGGGAATATACTGCATTCAGCAGTGTAGTTTTCACATGTAATAAGCTACTTTTAGGTGATATTTTGATATTGACATAATTTGATACTGCTTCGAATCTCAGTTTAACAGAATCTCAGGGTGATATTTTTCACTTTGTGCCTTCGCGAGTAATTTTTTGTGTTAGATATATTGTATTGGACAATATATCTACTACATTAGATTATTAAGGCAGTAGAACAGTTTAGAAACTTAAACAACATATACATTTGCATATAATCACTTAAGCTCAAACCAATTGGTGCTTCATATCATAAGTCTGGTATATAATTTCCCGATCAAGTGTATATATCAGGTAATTGTAGTGTAAATACAAACAGGTCTTGCCAACTTAGTCAGGGTAATACAGCATTAAGTGTAGAGTAATTTATAGTCAAAACTTCAGGTGCATAATATAATTGTGTAAATATACAGTGATCATCATACAGCCTAGTCTTTAAAGCTCCATTTCATAATCATGTAAATAAAAGTAATTTACAACTTTTGATACCAAATACTTATTTTTGTAAAAGAAAGCAATAAAGTAGTTTTTTTTCTGTTTATATTTTAAAGTTACATCACATTGTCTGTTTAATTAGTGGTACGTTTTATGTCGCAGAGTTGCGACATACAGCCTCTATAGGAGACTCTAACCAATCCACACACATTATATTAATCTTCAATAAAATATTATAAACCCAAGTATTGTACATTAGTTATATCCATAGTAAGAGATTCAATATTTCAAGTTTTCTCTTTTATCTGTAAGACTCTGATATTTTGGCTCGCTACCATCTCAAATTACTATCGGGGTCATTACATTAAGAATAGAGATGCCCGCCGCAATTTAACATCGCTTAGAATCAGCAGTCACAAGCTTGAAGTCGAGGTGGGTAGATATAAAAGACCACATCTTCCACCCGAACTTAGAATTTGTAAACTATGTAAAAAGGCACAGGAGACCGAAGAACATTTTTTGCTCAAGTGTAATGAGCTCAAACATATCACAAATAAATATTTAGACTTGCTTTATACCAAATGCCCTAATATCGGCTCGCTATCAGATATGGATTTACTAGCTTTCTTATTTAATGCTGAGGAGCAATATTGCAGCATCTTTTCTAACATGGCAAATGAATTATTCTCTATAAGGAGTACTTTGCTCAGTAGGTAGATTTCAGACAGACTCACCCAGTAACGACGTGATCCAGTTACATATATATACTGTATATACATCTGTATTTATGTACTTTTCTACTTGTACGTTATTATGTCTATGTAAGTTTTTTTTCTCTTCTTTTGTACATTTGCCCTTAAAGGGATTATTGGTACGTGAATAAATAAATGATATATATAAATATGTACAAATCGGATAAGTTATTTTTGTATATTTTAACATTATGTTATTCATTGAAGCTAAAAACATGTGTCTCCAGGTCCCAGGCTATCATTTTTCTTTCTAAGATACGTTAGAAATTCAATAATTGGCACCCCAATTAAAATACTGAGAATTTAACGAAACCACCAATTAGTCATTCCTTTGTACTGCAAGCTTGATAAACAAAATATTTTGAATAAATGCGAAATACCAATAATAAATATGCTAATTTGCATATATGCACAATATTTATAAAGTTATCATTGTATCTCTAACATTACCGTATGTCAAATGACAAAATTGATGAATTTCATGTAATTTAACAAAAATGGCAGATCCCATGTTAAACAAATGGGGAATGGCTTAGGGGCAACTCAAATTTTGGGATATCTATTCAGTGAAACATTTGTTGAAAAAACTTTCTGAGTAGAAAATCGAATGGTTTTACATTTTACAAACAATCATTATTTTAATAATGGCCTCGCTAATTAGCCTATACTATTTTTCCCCAAACTAACCTTTTGTCCAACCCAGCTAAATCTCTTCAGGAAACCCTTATCGTCATAAATTAACCCAAAAACATCGTGTTTTAACAATTCATAGGTTCACTATAGGATGCATAGGAGTGACAAATGGACGATACCACTAATGTTTTATTTTAAATTGAACCTCTCCAGTACAGAACAGACCACTTATGTTTAAATATATTAAAATTGAACACTTCCCCAGTTACATAACATACCACTAATGATTTATAAATTTAAATTGAACTTCTCCACTTACATAACAGAGCACTAATGTTTGAATATATTAACATTGAACACTTCCCCTGTTACATAACAGAGCACTAATGTTTTAATACTAAAATTGAACAGTTCCCCAGTTCCATAACCGAGCACCAATGTTTGAATATATTAACATTGAACACTTCCCCTGTTACATAACAGAGCACTTATGTTTTAATATATTGAAATTGAACACAAGTCATTGCATAATATATTTGCAACAATCAATTATATAAATTAATTAAATCAAGCTGTGCACAATAGTAAACATTCCTGCAAGAATTATATTATTGTTATTCAAAAAATAATAATCTCATTTTTGGGCACAAGATTAAGATTAATCCCTCTGTTAATACCTAAATGCCTTTTCAGCTTTATATAAATATAAGTAAATTCAATTTGTGTTGGTATACATGTAGTAAGTCAATCCACTGATAATGTGCAAAGCATTGAAATATAATTCTCTTCACTAAACAAACAAATCAAATGTTGACTGAAAATAAAATAAACCAATTCATACCTTCACAATACATGTTGAATATTGAGATTCAACTTTGTCGAGATTGAGAAGTGTAAGTTCAAAACTTAATACTGTACTTGAGTTTATTAACAGAAAAATAAAGCTTTTGGTCCAATGGATTATGAGGGGAGAAACTCCTACCCAACCCAATGCTGATTGTCAACCCCAGACGTGCGCAGTGATTTATTACCAAAACTCTATGTACCGTCTTGCTTTCCCATAGCGGACAAACCTTTCACAAAATATGCAAAGTACATTTTTTGCTTGTCCAACCAATGTCTTCCCTCAAAATAATAACTTGCAAGAATGACTCGAATTGTGTTCTCTGAGAATTCACTTCAAAAGTTCGAAAGAGCTCCCTAACTTATTGAAGTGTAGAACTTTAGAATGGCGTTGAGAGTTTGATTTGGAAGATATCAAAGTTTGGTGACCAAAATTAGGCTAAAATAATATAAATTGATTACTCCCACCCCATAGTCACTCCTCTAATTTTGTGGCAGCAACAATAACTTTCCAAACGAATTTAAGCTCGCGATCATATTGGAAATCATTGGAAATAAATCCGATTCTTAAAAGTATGCGATTAAAAGAGGACATTGACACTGGTCAGTATCAAGCGAAGGTACGACCGTCACCTTCGCATTCAAGATGTCGGTTGGGAAGTGTCCATGTCGATAATTTTAGTATTCATGGAATTAAACTACTATAGCTGACGTTAGCTTTGATATTTGAACTAAATCCGACGTATACAACTTGGAAACACTTGAGTATGATCATTTGTTCATATATCGTGCGTGGGCGCAATAGTTCAACGGCATCTTCCACCGCTTAATGGGAAAGGTAACTGGAAATGTATGATACAATAGAGATGATGAAACCCAAATCCCAGTAACCTACCCTTAAGCTGTGGAAGGTATCGTTGAATTGTGGCGCCTATACGCGCAATTATGAACAATTGATCATACTCCCGAGTTTTCATGTTATATTAGCCTGGTTTAGTTCAAAATATCAAAGCATTACGT